ATATATACACAATGGAATATTTTTAGCCCTTAAAAAGAAGAAAATCCTGTTTTTTGTGACATGATTGAAACTGGAGGACATCATGTGAAGCGAAATAAGCCAACAACAGAAGAAATAATACTATGTGATACCATTTATATGATAGATCTAAATTAGATCCATGGAGCCAGACACAGTGGATCATGTCTGTATTCCCAACTATTTGAGAGGCTGAAGCAGGAGAATCACTTGAGCGCAGGCACTCGTGGTTGCAGTGAGCCTAGAACCCCTGCACTTCAGCCAGAGCAATAAAGTGAGACCCGCAACTCTTAAAAAAAAAAAAAAATAGACTCATAGAATCATAGAACCTAAAAGTGTCATGGTAATCAGTAGGAGGGGAATGGTTTAAACTTCGGGAAGAGGAATTTTACCAAGTCATCGGACTAAGCTGATGGTTCTCCTTATCATATCTCCCTTTTCCTTAAGGTATACAGGAGCCAAAGTGAGGCTCACATGTGATTTGTGGCAGAGCTATGCCACAAGCTTCCTCTTCCTTTTCTTCAGGCCCTGTGCCCAAGCTCCCCAGAAGAGCTGATGGGTGTATCAGGCTTTGCATATGTGTTTAAGTCATTAAGTCTTACGTTTTATAGCATTTTTTAGAGTATTTAATTTCTTGAAAGTACTGCAAATGATAAGTGTATGTGTTTGTGTGTACTCTGCTGTTCATGTGAACTTGATAAAATTGTGAGCTTAAGCCGGGCTCGGTGGCTCAGCCTGTAATCCCACGCCTTTGGGAGGCTGAGGTGAGTGGATTGCCTGAGCCCGCGGGTTCGAAACCCACCTGTGCAACTTGGTGAGACCTCATCTCTACAATAAGTCAAAAAATTAGCCGGGTGTGGTAGAGTGTGCCTGTAGTTCCGGCTACTTGGAAGGCTGAGGCGGAAGGACTGACAGAGCCCAGCTGGTCGAGGCTGCAGTGGCTGGGAGCCACCACTGCACTCCAGTCTGGGCGACAGAGTGAGACTCCAACTCAAAAAAAAAAAAAAAATTGTGAGCTTAAAACATTTACTTGGACCAAGTGCTGTGGCCTGAGTCCAGGAGATTGAGGCAGTGGTGAGCTGTGATTGTGCCACTGCTCAGCATGAGCAACAGAGTGAGACCACAACTCAAAAAAATTAAAAATAAATAACACTTTCTTGACAGTTCAGTATTTTCTAACTTCTACTGTTAAGGTACCAATAAAAAATTTGTATTAAAAGGAAGCATACATATAGTTCAGTGTATTGTTTATTGTGGTTCTAAATATGCCTTAAAAAATAGAGTCTTCTCTAAGAGGAATTTCAAATTGAGAACCAGAGCATCCAGACATGGTTTTCTGGATCTTAGAGTCTTTAAATCCCGAAAGTCTAGAGATTAGCTGAAAGCCAAATCATAATATGTTTAAACTGCCCACTCTCTAATGGGGTTGAGTTTTCCTTGGAAAGATTGTCAAAAATCTCCAGAATTGCCAGAACATCAGGTTCAACTCTCTGTCCCTGTACAAGTTCAGGCCTGATCAGGGATGGCTAGCCAGTGGCCTGGTGGCCCCTTGAATTGTAATTAAAGTAGTTACTGTCCGGCATTTCTTTCTCTTTTTTTTTAACTGTTATTTTGTTCTTCCTTTAAAAGATGTTTATTGTTTAGTCAATACATAAGTAGCTACTAAATGATATAGTTAGTTGGAGACAATTGAATTGCCTGTGGATATAGTCAGGGAAGTGTGCATTAGGTGTTTAGTAACTGGGAAAGTGTAAGTCTTGGAGTATTTTAAAAGTACTCTTCAGAGCCTGTCCAGCTGGTACTTCTCTGTTCCTGGAACCTACATGATGAAAACCAGAGGCCCTGTGCTGTGGGGATGCAAGGTGCTCTCGTCAGTGCTGCTGCTTGCTTGTGCTTACCCTGTTGTGTTTTAATGCAGTAAGGAGTATTCGTCAAATGCCAGCTCCTGTGCTAGGGCGAAGGACACAGGAGGAAGATTCAGCCCCACCCCTGGGAATGGGCTCACAGATTCCTTTCGGTTGTCTCAACCCTCGCACGCATTGGTTTTAGTCTCTCCTCAAGTCTCTGCCTCAGATTCTGCCTCTTTGCTCCAGTGATTTCAAAACGACTTGTGTGTATTTTTCATGTTAGTTGGGTTTTTTTTTGTTTGTTTGTTTTTTTAACATTTCTCTTAGGCATTTAGTTACTTTTAAAATAATGGAGCCAACTTTCTCTGCCCCTTTTTATCATCATATCTAAATCTACAACCTTCTAATGTAACCCAGGCTTGGAGAATCCTCCAGTCATCTCCTCCCTAGTGAGCCTCATTGCCCTTATTCCAGTATTTCATTGCTTAACACGTCATAGTACCATACAATTTATAGTCTGTGGACTGTTGGGCTATTGAATTGACACATGCTTCCCTTCCTGCCACTGCAATGGAGATTTAGAAGATTGGGTTCAATTCGAACCTAGGGCCCAAATATTCTACTACAAATCAACTTTTCTGCCCCCCACCCCTACCCCAAAAGCATGGTTTCACTGTGGATGGTGATTGGCATACATTCAATTCATTGTACATATGTTGGCATAAAGTCAGTACTGAGGGAAAGGCCCTCAGTGTAGATCTGCTCTGTGGTATTACCAGCACATTAAAGATTTCTGACAGATGCAAAGCAGCAAAGGGGCTTGAGCTGAAAATACAAATCTCTTCGATTTTCAAATTTAATATTTTGTTGTTGTTCATAAGGGTCAGGCACATTGATGGCAGGTCATCATCATCTTGTGGTAAATTTATGACACAACTGATAAAAAGAGAGAAAAGAGTAGGAGTGAAGGGTCATGAAAACCTTTGAGGGGGAGGGGTAGCAGGATCATTGTGTGTGTGAGAAAACCTTTGTACTCTTCGGTTAGCAAGTCTACAAAATGAGAACCATCTTGGGAAACAAGGCTTTATTAACTCAGAAGTCTTCTTTATCAAGTTACCTTTTTCCATGTTTAAGAGTATTTGAACATGCATTTAAATAAATGTTAGACTTTGCCTGATTACTGTTCCTTTCACTAGAAAAAGATAAACCATGAACATTCCCCTCTTGGAAATAGTGTGGGGAAAATGTTGGTCCCAATAAAGTTTTCATTTGGCCCTCCATCACTTCTTCCCATCTGTGAGAAGGAATACAAAGCTGCATGGGCTCCCTCTTGAATATGAGAGTCCAGGACTAGAGGTACAGCCATGTGTTAAAATTACAGGGTGACAGCATATGTCTTTGATTTCCATTTGCAGCCTTCCCGCCACTTGTTAACACAAGTCATGAAAATCACAGGTAACTAGCATCCAGTGGCACGGTTGTGTATCTGTTTGGGTGCTTTGTTGCAATTAGCAAAAACTACCTCTTGTCAGCTTAAGCAGAAGAGACTTTATTAGAAGGATATTAGGAACTCATAGAATTGATGAAAAGACCAAAGAACCAGGCTTGGAACAGAGAGGAAACAAGGCAACTCTGGAGATCCAAGAACTGTCTGGAAGCGTATGTATTAATTGCTATTGGGCAGGATTGTGGCAGTGTCAGCCATTTCAGTAGCTGTGCCCTCCTTACAGAGAACTCCAAGGAAGGACCATTTCACTGTCATAGCTTGTACCATGTGACCACACCTTGGTAGAGGGAGGGTGTGGCTCTGATTCCAATCCCACCAACCCGTATCCAAGAAAGGTCATTCTTCAAAGGGAAATTAAGATGAACTTTATTGGGAAGAACTTATGCTATGCAGACAAAAGCAGCAAATGGCCACTCCAGGGTAGTGGGAGGGATTGATTGACAGAGTGAGCCAGTACTAATTTTCCTTGGTAACTGTGCTCATATGCATTGTCTATGACAACTGTCTCTATCACCTCATCCCTCCCGCTTAGTTTGGGGCCTAGAAGGGCAGTCCTGTTGTGATGTTGGGTTGTACACTCAGGATACTAAGTACGTGTGCCAGAACATGCTAGTGGCGAAGCAGTTGCACTCTGATCCCTTTAGCAAAATTAGACTTTTTAAGGCCCTTTTCCTTGACTGCTCCAGTGTTTACCCTGTTTACTCTATGGCACCATTTACTCATTGTTAATCAGCTAAATCCATAACTGCCCAGTTATTGAGAATTTTGTATTTTAAGTATATTTATCAGTAGCCAAACTTTGACTTCATTTGGATAAATAAATGCATGCCTTAGTATGATTTCAGTTGGTTGTTAGAGACGATTTATGTATGTAGCACAAATCTTGCTTAATGATTGCAGATACAACTTTAGGAAAATACAGTGTTACCTTGCCCACCCTTGTTACTGGAGAGACAGCAGTGGAATCCTACTCCTTGTACACATTCTCCCCTTTTCAAAGAAAAGTGCAGGCTTTCCAAAAGAGGGGATTTTAATAGCCAGGAATGTAGTGAGGCACATGTCTTCTCACTTTCTATGCACATTTAACAACATTTATAGTGTACCTCCTGGGTGTAAGAAAAAAATGATTGAAAGCAATTTTATCGAATTAATTATAAATGATGAGTTAGTGACACTTGTATTTGAGTCTGTAAAGTTCTAAATTTCCATAGTTCCCACCATCAACTTCCAAACCATTAGTCTCTGGGCTAGGCACAGTGGCTCACACCTGTAATCCCAGCACTTTGGGAGGCTAAGGCAGGAGGACTGTTTGAGCCTGTGAGTTTGAGACCAGGCTAGGCAACACAGTGAGACCTTGCCTATACCAAAAAAACAAAAACAAAAACAAAACCCCATTAGTCTAATGCTAAACATAAACACTCTGTACATTGTGAAAGCCATTGAAAGTGTTGTGGAATGCTGACCCAACATGTTTCTCTTTCAGCATCCAGTGCTGGACGAGCCAATAGCTGAAGCCGTCTGTATTATTGCAGACACGGACAAGTGGAGCGTCCAGGTAGCCACGAGTCAGAGGAAGGTGATGGACAGCACAAAGCTAGGCCAGGACGTTCTAGTCTCTAGCCAGGTGTCCAGTTTACTTCAGTCCATTTTACAGCTCTATAAGCTTCATCTCCCTGCTGATTTTGTAAGTGTTTGTTCTTATATCACCAAAGAAATATAGTTTAAAGATGCTTTTAACAAAATTTTGATCATAAAAACTCAAATTCAAAAGTATTGTTCTAACATAATTGAAGGTTTGGGTAAGTAAAATAGAACATGCAACATAAAACTATCAAATGGGATAGATTTCAGTAACGATAGCCCTTCTGTGAAACAATAGCAAGAGTGGCACTGGCATCTTTCTCAACAAGGTACATGGTAAGGTAAAGACAGGGGGAGTGATCAAGCATGAGAACTTCACATCCTCCATTGGAGAACTCATCGTTCTTTTATTCGACCCATATGAAGCAGGACAGTTTTAGAAGGGATTGTGGCTTCTTCTGCTCAGCGACTGTCTTCACTAGGTGTTAGTGATGAAATAAAATTCTGTTTGTATAAATTTTGAAGTACTGTGTACATGTAAGATGATATCAGTTCCTTTTTAAGTTGGATTTTAAAATCATTTTTATAACATTATTTATAAATAATACATGATACAAACAACAGAACCTGTAGACTCTTGGAAAAGTATTAGCACTGGAGTTAATATACACAACAAGTTCATTTCACTATCTGTGTATGGAGAAATTGAGTGAAAGAGAAAATATATTCATATATATATTTTTTTTTTTTAAGAGAAAATATATTGAGAGAAAGAGAAAATTGAGAGAGGGAGAGAGAAAGGTTTCAAAAGAGGAAGAGAAGGCTTTTCCAGTGATGATGACTGCTTTTTTAAAAAGAGGAGGATACTCCAAGACATGTGGCTCATCCTAGGAAAAGATTTGGTGTGTGGATCTCAGGGAGACCACTTCCATGGAAGAGTTGGCCTTCACTGCTGTTTCCTCCCTCCTGCACAGCGTTGCCTCTGCAACTTGACCCCAAATCAAAATATCTGCCCTCTGCCTTCTGGCCTCCAAAACTGATACAGACCTGTTTGCCAAGTTGTTAGGAAGCTGCACCAGTTGCTAATGGAGTGGTCACTTCCTGGTTCCTATGACCAAATCTACACTTGCACCACATTCCTCAGAAATAATCAAGACTTTTGTGACTTTGAAGAAGGTGCTCTGAAATACTCTCTGGTTGCTGTCAAAGTCGTGACAGGGTGGCATGGCAGGAAGACCACTAAACACATCTGGGAAAGTCTAGGTTTTGCCTCAGTTCATTGTGTAATAGTGGACAAGCTGAGTGTCTCTGATCCTAAGCTTTCTCTTCTGTAGAATGAAGATAAGACCCATTCAACAAGTGTGCTGTGAGACTCTTCTAAAAATTATGGACATGATACTGCTTTTTAAACTTTCAGAGCACCATGCCAAGATTAGATACGTTAAAAGGCAGTGTACAGTAGCTTCAAAGGCCAGTAGCCTGGAGTCAGATGCAGCTTCCATTGCTTAGACCTCTCAGAGCCTCAGCTGCCTTATCTGCAAAGCCAGGAAAGTAATAAAGCCTAACTCATATGGTTAGGAAATTAGAGAATTAATGTAACGTACTGGGAATGGTGTCAAACATTATAAGCACTCATTAAACAGCTACCGTTAGTCTGAGTTAATAATTAGTATCATGAAACAATGGTGGTAAAGACTGACAACACCTTTTTTACTAATATCTTTATTTGGGTTTTACACTGAAGTGTATTCTTGCAGACATCTGTCCCGAACTGATGGGCTGATATGACCTTATTTTTTGTTCTACATTTGTAGGCAGTTGTTCTTTCTAGAAGCAGGCTGAGTTATGCTGATTTAGTGACTAACTTCTCCTGTAAGGGAAAGAAGATATATTAGACTTAATTTTTTTATTGCAATAAGTATTTGCCAAACTTTTATATTTAATTCTATAGTACATAGCTCTTGTTACATTTGGTATCCTAGCTGTCAAAGCAATAAAGTATTATATCTAATTATTTATTTGAACGAGAAGTATGTTTAATCACTTATCATGTGAATGACTTATTCAACCTGACAAAACCAAGATTAAAGAACATTTTGTCTGCAGTTTAAAATTCTTCTTAAATGTATTGAGCATGGTGACTCACACCTGTAATCTCAGCACTTTGGGAGTCTGAGGCAGAAGAATCACTTGAGGCCAGGAGTTAAAGACCAGCCTGGGCAACCTAATAAGACCTCATAAAAATAACTGGGCATGGTGCCACACACCTGTAATCTCAGCATCACAGAAGGTGAGGCATGAGAATCATTTGAGCCCAGGAGTCTGAGGCTACAGTGAGCTGACCAATTGGCTATTAGAAACTTCAGTACAGAAGGAGAAAGTAGATATTTGAAATTTCAGAAGTTAAAAATTGAATACATCTGTCTCAAGAATAAAATCCAAGAGAAGGGAAAAAACTCCATCATAGTTCTATTTGATTATTTAAGTCTTTAACAATTTTTTAAATGCTTTGATTTCATGTTTAGTATATATTCCATATAGACTGAAGTTCTCTTTCTTTCCACATTGCATTATGCAGTTTTCACCAAGACTGAAAACACTGTAACTATTTCAAAACAAGGATCCGATGTAATATGAATGTTCTTTTAACATTTTATAACACTCTTATTAAAAACTTTATGTCACTTCATAAGGAATTGAAACCTAATAGGTAATCCTTTTACCACTTAAGTCTGTTTACTTGGGGGAACATTTCCATAAGAATCGGTGAGATCCTCCTTGCTTTGATTATTACTCTCTAGTCACCCAGCAGTTTTGTTTCATCCACCTGACATAGTGCATTTAAGATTTTAATGAAAAACTGGAATAGTGCATTTAAAATTTTAATGAGAAACTGGAAAGACTGCATCTCTGACAGGTATTTTTTCCATGTCTCTGATCAGCCCAGATGGTCAAGATCAACATTTTCAAATGCAACTGTTAATCTTTTTACCTTGAAAATAACAGGCATTAATGGTGTAGAAGAAAATTATGTATGATGGAATTACCGTTGCCAAAGCCATCAGGTGTTGTACTGAAGAGGCTTGGGTAGCTCTGCCTGCCAAATGCAAAAGCTTTTGCCTCTGGTGAAAGACACAGATGGTTGCTGTTCCCAAAAAAATGAAGCTGAACAGAATTCCAAGGGTAAAGATGTCCTGAAATAATTGCCTTTTCTTTATTGTTATTAAAGACCTAGTTAAAATACACTTTTTTTTTTTTAGAGTCTTACTCTTGTCGCCCAGGCCGGAGTGCAGTGCCATGCTCACAGCCACTGCGGCCTCGACCTGCTGGGCTTAGGCAATCCTTCCACCTCAGCCTTTCGAGTAGCTGGAACTACAGATGCACACCACCATGCCTGGCTAGTTTTTGTGGTTTGTAGAGATAAGGTCTCACCAAGTTTCCCAAGCTGGTCTCGAACCCCACTGCTCTCAGAGTGCTAAGATTACAGACTGAACCACTGTGCCTGGCCAAAATTCATTCTTGAAAGAAAAAAAAAAAATGTGTTCAAAATGACCTGTTCTAATAATCCTACTTCTGGGAATGTGTTGGACCAAAATATTCTGAAATATAGGTGGGGGGAAGAACCAAAAAATATATTCTTCACTAAATTACTTATAACAACAAAAATGCAAATTGCTTTGTGGTTAAGTAATCCTAAATTTACATTCTAAATATCAGCCATAAAAATCGCATCAATAAAGAATTCTTAATAACATGGGAAAAAGATTATTATAAGGTTTTTAAAGCAAGAAATAATTGTATTTATAGAATGAGTTCAAGTGTCGAAAATACATTTTTAAAAAGACTATAATGACATGTGAAATTTTTTTAAATAAGTTTTTTATTTATTTTTTGAGTTGGGGTCTCACTCTTGCCCAGGCTGGAGTTCAGTTGCATGATCATGGCTCTCCACAGCCTTAACCTCCTGGGCTCAAATGACCCTCATGCCAGCCTCCCAAGTACCTGGAACTATAGACATGTGCCACCACACCCAGTTCATTTTTATGTTGGTTTTTTTTTTTGGTTTTGTAGAGGTAAAGTCTCACTATGTTGCCCAGGCTGTCTCAAACTCCTAGACACAAGCAATCCTAAGCTCACCTTGGCCTCCCAAAGTGCCAGGATTACAGAGTAAGCCACCAGGCCCGGCCTCTAATAAATTTTATAATTAGAGGTAGGGCCTCAAACTCCTGGACTCAAGCAATCCTCCAACTTCAGCCTCCCAAAGTGCTGGGATTATAGGCATGGGCATGCGTCACCACCCCCAGCCTTGAAAGTCTTAATAATTGTTCAGAAAAGTAAACTTTATTTTTTTTTCAAAGTCCTATTCTTATACCTACAAGTGGTAAGGTTTGAGATGGCTTGTAATTTTTTAAGTGTATTTGAAAGAGATAAGATTATAGCTGTGTACTTAGAAATGAATTAAGAGTGCGGGTTCGAGACCCACCTGGGCAGCGAGACCTCATCTCTACAATAAATCAAAAAATCAGCCGGGTATGGTAGTGCATGCCTGTAGTTCTGGCTACTCGGAAGGCTGAGGCGGAAGGATCGCCGGAGCCCAGCAGGTCGAGGCTGCGGTGGCCGGGAGCGGCCACTGCACTCCAGTCTGGGCGACGGAGTGAGACTCCAACTCAAAAAAAAAAAAAAAAATGAATTAAGAGAAGTTTAACTCTTGAAATTTTGGCGGAGATTTGAATCCTAGCCCTTACTGTGCATGTTGTTGGCTTTGCAGTGCATCATGCATCTTGAAGACAGACTACAGGAGATGTACCTGAAGAGTAAGATGCTGTCTGAATATCTTCGGGGACACACACGAGTTCATGTGAAAGAATTAGGTGTTGTGCTGGGGTGAGTTCTGAGCAGTAACAGCACCTCTCCCTAAGGCTATCCCTAGAATTGTACCCTCTCTACCACCCTAACCCTGCAGCGTGGTGTCTGCTCAGAGTATCTGGGGTGTCAGCTGCATGCCTCCACAACTCCCCAATGAACAGCATGGGTTTCACACCTGGACACAACTGCAAAACTGTGAGCTGGTGCTACTTTGTTATTCTTTCCTCTGGATTATCTTGTGCTTGAAAAAAAAGAAAAGGAATCCCACACTGTCTGCCCATTTCTAGTAATCAAGTGAGATGCCAGAGTCACCAGCTGTCAGACATGCAGCAGCAGCTTGTGTATACATTTGTGTGCAGTTCCCTTCCTGGAGAAGGAATCACAGGCTCTTCCACCTGTGGTGTGGGGGCAGGGGGGCTTCTCTTGGACTTGAATGTCTACGGGGGACTGTGCTCTCCTCCCTCTTCTCGTAAGCCCACCAGACAGGAGACAGCTTATGCTGCTAGCAATGTCTGTCATCTTCCAGGGGGAATTTGCCATAACTTCTTTAGGGAAATAAATTCTGCCTTTTGTTTTATTCAGTAGAGAATAAAAAGACACTATATACGTGGGGACTTCCCCCCTTATCCATGGTGATGATTCCCCTAACTAGGAAAAAGAAAATATTGTCTGTCATGTCAACCTATAAGTTCTTTAGTAAACTTCTACTCAGGGTATGACTCTAAGACTCAGGCCTTCGCATTCTCATCAGACTTTTAATCTCTCACACCCAGAGTATAACCCACTGTATTGTTTGGCTCTTGGCATTTCCTATCATGTGTTTTTCTTACATACTTCATTTAAAAAATACTTTCACCTTATGAGGTATTTGCTTTTGCAGTTAACTTGCATCACATCTTTGTCCTTTTTTTCTTGGCCTGTTTGTGGCTCTTTACTGGAGCAGTATGTTAATCCTGTCTCATTATTAGCCTTCCCATTGCCAGATGTGGACCTTCCATTTCTGGAATATTGCGTGGTCCTCGCCTTTTACAGTGTCCATCATCAACACTGCCAGAAGACTCAAAGCAATCTGCTTCCTGCAGCATTCATCTCTAGGTCCTCTCAGTTCATTCCTGGTGGACTCTGCTCATGCTCTTTTTATCAGGGCCAGCAACACTAAAAGTACTAAAGACTTTCTTGTTCACTCTAAGATAGATCTATATGTACCACTGCTGGAGAAGGATAGAAAACTCCATGAAGTAGTGCCAGCTGCTGTTTTGTTTTTTGTTTTTTTGAGTTGGAGTCTCACTCTGTTGCCCAGGCTGGAGTGCAGTGTCACACTCACGGCCATCCTAGCGTCGACCTGCTGGACTCCAGCGATTCTTCCACCTCAGCCTTCCAAGTAGCTGGAACTACAGGCACGTGCTACCACACCCAGATAATTTTTTATTTTATTGTAGAGACGAGGTCTCGCCACGTTGCCTGGGCTGGTCTCAAACTCGCGGGTTCAGGCAATCCATTCTCCTCGGCCCCCCAAAGTGCTGGGATTACATGCTGAGCTACCGAGCCCAGCCCAATTTTTTATTTGTATTTTTATTTGAGGGGATGCAAGGGAAAGAATTAAGATGTATTCCACAGACAAAACAGACCAAATTTTTTTCCCAAGACCCTGGCATTGTGTAGCCAGTGCCCATACTGTATCCACCTCTGCTTTGAGAGGCAGCCAAACATTGTCCATTTGAAACTGATGTCTCTTAATCTGGTAACTTTTAGTGTTACGTTGCTCTCAAAATGTTGTGGCTCTAACGCGTAGTGAAGATCAGGTTTTATATAACCTGTTGAACAAATACCCAAGGTTTTACTAATATCAGCATTTTTCTAAAACTAATTTGAACCTAGATGAAAAATCTATATGCATCCAGTAGTATTAACTGGAGAAATGGGAAGCTAATGGAGAAAAGCTTGAAATATGATATAATGAAATTGGACTGGGAATACAGAAAAGTTACAGACAGTTGGGGGAGCCGTGCTATGGGAAAAACAGCTCTGTGTCCACAAGTGTGCGTGACACACCTCTTGAACCATCTCCCTTGGCTTCCGTGGGCAGTGGCCACTGAGAGATCTCATTAAGGGAATGTTTATTATATCTCCAGCTACTTTACTTTTTTATTAGTTTTAAACAATAATCTAGCAAGCTTGGTACCTAGAAATAAGGCTTCCCTATAAAACTATGTTATTTTAAAATAATACTCTTTTTTTTTTCAATACTCAGGATTGAGTCTAATGACCTGCCTCTGCTGACTGCTATTGCCAGTACTCATTCTCCGTACGTGGCTCAAATACTCTTATAAGCTAAATCTCAGGACAGCTCTTCCTTGGAAGAAAAAAAATCAAATTCTCAACTGAGGGAGAAAAGAATAAGCTCTCTGTGATGTCAAAAGCAAAAGAAGAGCAAACAGAAACTGTCATTCCACCTATTTGTTTTGTGTTTTTGCTTTCAAGTGGATGCTTCATTGGAAGACTTAGGTTTACTTGACACAATGGCATTTGTGATTGTCATGAACTCCTTAGGCCTTTTGTTACCCATGAATCAACAGAGAGAGTGACCTTTGGGTAGGAGGAAACATAAGCACTGCACTAAACACTAAGCTATTGCTACACATTGCCTGTGCTGTTTGGGCAGAGTCAGGACAAGTGACCTTGAAGCAGAGAGGTCAACAGTGTGCATACATTCCAGTAGGAAACTGTCTCAGCACAGGCTCCCCAAACTGGAGAAAACATATTTTGCTATTCTAAGAAGACAGAGCAGGGACTTTGGCTCCCAGGTCGGAATTTGCTTTTTTACACGAGGTGAACTGAAGAAAGCCACACTGTGCCATCTTCAGCTTCAGTGGCTTCGCAGTTACTGTTTGACATGAAACACGTAAGAGGATTGCCTGTTGGGAAGAGAGTGTGTTAGGGACCCACTGTTTCATTTCTTGGAGTTTACCTTGTTTCACTTGCAGTCACAGGTAGGTCAGAGATGGCTTGTTTGTGCAATAAACCCAAGAATCAATGTAGCCTCTTGATCCCATCAAGACATAGTTTGTAGCAGCGGAGTGCACAGTCTGAAACCATGTGTTTTATCCTCACAGTTCAGAGCTTTCAGCAGCCTTCTCAAGAGAGGCCATTTACCAAAGTAATTTCTATAAGCTCAAGAGTGTTTCTGTTGGTAAGTTCTTCCAGCTGAAGCCACCTTCTTACTAGAGTTAATACAAATGACTATTTATACTTTAAGAGTCGCAGTGTCCTGGTGGGAAATGAAACCTGCAACAGTTCAGGTTGGCTAATGAAAGTGATGAGTTGGAACATTCAGAAACTGTTCATACACAATCTGTCTTTACATTGTCATCTCTGTGCCTTCTAATCCCTACATCCTTTTCAAAACATCTTTCCAGAAATTAACCCATCGTATAAAACTTACCAAAATAAATTATTAGCCAAGATCATTTTCCAAAAAAAACCCTTAATTTTCTGTTAAAAGAACTTTACTAACCATGAAACAGTCTATGTACTGACATCCAGGATAAAGGGAAAGACTTTTAAAAACTGGTTGTTACATGACGGGCACTAATCTGGTGGAGCAGAACACTGTTAGTACTTTGCAGGTTTCGAGTGCAGTTAATTATAACCAGGCTCCATTCTCCTTTCACTGCTTTATCAATTCCAGTCCTTTCCATGTGTCCTCTGTATCTAAGAACATAAAGTAACTTCCCTCTTAAGGATTCAAATGACTTTAAATTTTATATTTGATAAAGTCCTGACTTGAAACACCAAGTTATATTTCTTTATTCTTTTACAAATGCAAGTTAATGATTTGTTTGAAAGAGTATACCAGCAGCACCGATGGGAGAAAAATCAGTGTATTATTTCTTCAGGATAATTTCTAGGAATAGGTTAGAATTGCTGCCTTTCCTGCCGGTTTTTTTTTTTTTTTTTTGGAGTCAGAGTCTCACTCTGTCACCCAGGCAGCATGATCACGGCCACAGCAACCTCAACCTACTGGGCTCAGGCAATCCTTCCATCTCAGCCTTCCAAGTAGCCAGAACTTCAAGTGTGTGCCACCATGCTGGGCTAATTTTTTTTTTTTTGTATTGTAGAGACAAGGTCTTAAATGTAGATGGGGATATTAAGGCTCTTAAGATCATTAATTTTCATTTTCTGTCATTCATTAAAGTTTTATTCTTTCTAATATTTTTCTGTTTCCTTTTGCTAACATTTGACTTTGTTGTTTTAAATCCTCTCATTCCATGACATCCTTGTTCACTGTTGTTTCAGAAAGAGGATGACCTTACCTGGGCTCAGCACACACAGTGTTCTCATTACATAAATACATTGGCATAGCTGCTGTTATAGTTTTCCCACCCACACCTGTTTAAAGCATTTTTTCATCTCTAGTTCCTTTTTTCTTGTTTACCTTCCCTCATTCACCACCTTTCCAGGGTTTCATAGAAAATAACTTGACACAAAATCAGTTCAGTTCTAATGTAGACATAGTGGCATGGTGAACATCAGACCTACATAGGGGGTATTGAACTTTAAATGCTTCATTCTAAACTCTATAGATTAAAAAAGAAAAAAAACAAAACAAAAACGTAGCCCAGACCCCTCAAAGTCTGAAAATTTTATTTGCCTCTTAATCTAACGTTCCCAAACTCACTCTTGGAAAAATGTCTGCTGAAAACTATAGGTAAGTCACGTGTGGGGATTGTCTCAGCAGCACTCAGGGTTCCAGTCAGAACCTAATCCTATCTGTTGCTTACAAAAGCAGACCAAGAATGTTGCTGCTCTTTTATAATCCTCCTATAATAGTTAACATCCAAGTTTTCTTTGTCTTAAATTTAACCTCTTCCCAAAAGCAAAGAAGAAAAAGATCTCATGGAATTGTTGAGACATACCCCTCACCCATGGTGCACTACCCTGGGGCTTCATTCTGACTGAGCCGAGAGGCAAGAGAGGGCTTCCACCTGCTCCCATGACCACCTCAAGAAAAAAATAAAAATTTTTTAAAAATAAAGAAATCTACCTCAGTTGACAGGATTCCACCATTAGGGTTTGTTCAACTTCTGAGTCTTACCTGTTGCGTGTACCTTTCATAGCATCTTGCTTTCCAAGCAAGCTAGTGAGGCATGGCCGACAGTGTGAGTATTCCTGTGGTGGACCTCCTCCTAGCATGTTGCAGTTTTATTTTTAATAAATTGATAAGTGAAATGAATGTAAAGGTAATTGTGTACGTTTTAAACATGACAATGAAAATTTAAAATGTAGCTTCCATTCTTGTGCATAATTCCAAAGTATTTTATTTTTTATCAGTGTTAAATAGCTTTTTGTACAGGCTTCAATCCATTTTTCTGAAGTGTGCTGTTTTTTAATGAAAGTAACTCTAATCTTTCACATCCCATGGAACTGCCGTTTACACATTGCAACTTTTTAAACTTACCATATTTTTTGAAATTAACTTTTTTGGAGGGAGGAAAATCCCTGCTTGCTAAATGATACTGAACTGTTGTTTGGGTCCTGACATTTTATAAAAACTTAGTCTGTAGCTTTTTAGGTTCTTCACTAGTGTTGGTTGTACATAAAAATAAGGAGTATAAAGTGACCCCAACATTCTTTGAGATGTCTGGATTTTTCACTAACATGTACTTTTGAGAGTACTTTGTTCATGCACACTTTCACCATTAAATTGAAAAAAATCTTTAGCTTCTCTTGGTAAATGTGAACCGTTTGTTTTTTACTGTGCTTGGGGGGGAGAGGATATTTTAATATAATTTTTGCCGAAATCAAACAACCCCCCGCTGAATGTTAGTTTTTAAATGTCAAAATTTGATGAACCATATATCTCAGACACAAGATTGCAATATGCTTAAATTTAAGTGGTGTTTAAAAGAGAAAATTTGCGATTTGTTTCATTCAAAACTCCATTAAAAGAAATTGATAGGACTTTATATTTTTGATCAGTTTAATAGATACCAATGTCATTGTGTGGAAAAATTTTCTTAAAACTTGTTCATATGTTATTTTGATCCATTTTTCTGTGGCATTTGGTGCAATAAACCTTTGGAATTTATCTTGAACATTTTACTGGTGCTGCATATGATTTGTTACATTTGGTCAAATATCAAGTTCTCATTTCCAATAATTCATGCTGAAACAAGTTCATCATATATATCAGTGACATTAGTGGGGGTGTTCTAAATGTGGGGACACTTTTGTTTAGCATAATGACAGGCTACCAGCATGGGGGAGGATGCTCAGATAACAGGCAAGATGTCCTGTACCATGTGGGATGGCCCCATGGTACAAGGAATTGTCCCATCTCCTGTGTGGTCTTGAATTGTCCACTCATGTGGGAGAAAAGCTAAAAATTTAATTCTGCTTTACATAAAAGTGCAGTGTGTTTCTTCCATGATTTTAGCATACAGTGAATTCTCCATAAATGCTCTGTTGTATAGGTTGAGGGAAGACTCTACTTTTTACGTTTCAGAATTTTAACAAGAATTGGTCACCTGGTCTTTACCAAGAATTGTAAAACCACATTACTTTTGGAAATCAACATTACCAACAGCAACGGTACTTGGAATTGAAGTCACCCATATAGTACATTGTGATCAGTCTTCATCCGTGGCTGTTATCTTCATGAGACGCTTTATATAGACGCCAGCTCTGACTACTTCTTCATATTTTCTCATTTAGTAGTGCCCCAGCATTTATGTACTAGAGTATGCGTTATTATAGGTTACCTTTAAATAGTAGATCCAGGACGTGACATTGGTTTGCTATAAATTATGTATAAATAGTTGATACATATGGTCTCAGGAAAAAATATGCTATTGTCTAACTTTTGAACCAGCATAATGCCATACTGAATTCTATTATTTAAAGACTGCAGGGAAAAGTTGCAGTAGATATTTAGAATATTCTAATAAATGAAAATTGTGAGTGTTTTCCTTGGTCCCTGAAGTCGTTTTGTTTTGTTGTTTTTTTCCCTGCATGTTCAGTCTTTGAAGGTTGTCTTTCCCACTGTGCACTCTGGTGAAGCAGTTTTAGAATCATATCATTGATAAAGGATTTAAACACACATATGCAGACCACATTGGTTTTGAGTTCCCCAGAACCTGGACTTTTCGGTCAAATTCTTTCTTTATATTACTTCATTTAATCCTCACACTGGATCCAGTGGTACTATGATGGTTAAGTTTATGTATCAACTTGGCTAGACCACTGTACTCAGATTATTTTTGACATGAGACTAATATTCAATTCAGTTGACCTTGAATAAAGCAGACGACCTTCTCTAATGTGAGTGGGCCTCATTCAACCAGTTGAAAGTCTTAAAAAGAGACTGAAGTTCTCCCAGGAAGAGAGAACTCTGCCTTCAGACTTGACCTGCAATGTAAGTTCTTCCCTGGGCCTCCACCCTGCTGGCCTACCCTTGGATTTTGGGTATGCCAGCTTCCACAATCACCTCAGCCACTTTCTTAAGCACCTCTCCCTCGCTTTTGCTCTCCTACACACACATGCATCCCACTGGGTCTGTTTCTTTGGAGAATGCTGATGGATACAGGTACTTAGGCGATCAATCCCATGATATCTGTGATAACCCAAAATGGAGTTGGTCAGCGTCATACCAAGTTGAATGTTGTCATACCAAGTTGTAAAGATCTTTTAAGCAAAGTTCTTTAACACAATAAACAGTGCAGACTTTAGAGTTATTCCTTAAGGATTGACATAGAAGTCACATAGTCTCTGAATGTGTGTTACAAATAATTGGAAAGTAAAAGTACAGTGGAAACAACCCTCTTGAGAAGGAAGGAACATTTCATTGAAAGTGGAAGAAAAAAGTCCCCATCCTGTAACAGAGCATCCCTACAACTGTGTGATAATTCCTATTGTGTGTACCACCCTCATTTTCTTGGGGACCTCAAGCCATCAGTTACCCCTTTGTCACACCTTCAAGTTCTCAATCTACTGAATTTTTCTACCCAAAGTATAAAAATAATTGTTTTGTTCGCATTAAGCCTTCTCCTGTGCCCCTCTCTTTTATCGTGTTCTTCTCTTTCTTTTGACAGCCAGGCACTTTCTAGAGAGCCTGATTGGCTTCCACTGCTTTCTTCCCTGTTCATTGCCTACTCACTGCCCCTGGCTCTGCTTCCCCACCACCTCACCCCATCTATGAGTTCAGCCTCCGCGTCCTTCCCCTTAACCGAAGTATTTCCCACATCCAGTTATCGCTGAGAGCTGTGGAACAGATTTCACATCTCCAGAATGTCACCTTTGCTCCTGTCTGCCTTGTGACAAGCCCTCCTCATTTCTCAATGGAGTTACTGAAGAGCCCCCACACACACCTCTTTTGTGTCCAACAGCTCGGATCAGTCTTTCTGACTGAAGATGACTCCATCTTCCTAAAGTGGAAATTGAATCCTGTCACTTCCTTGCTTAAGTCAGCCCAATAAAAGCCAAGTTCCTGAGCACCGTGCAATCAAATGACTTTCTTCTCCAGCCTCCTCCCCAGATACTCCTCTTGCGCTCAATTATCCAGCCATATTAAACTATGTGTTCTTCCCCAAAGGCACTAGGCTAGCATTGCCCTTGCCCTGTAAACCTGTTCTTCCCAGCCCGCACGCCCCTTCCCTTCGCCTCGTCAAGTCCCTCCTGCTCCTAGCTCGAAATTCAATTCATTGTCAGATCCTCTAGCACCTCACTGCTTAAGGTCCCTAGACAACTAAATGGATTGCCTTGATAGAAACGCAGGATCTCAAGCCCCATCTCAGACCCACTGGATCATTATCTGCATCTCAGTGTGATCCCCAAGTGATTTGTAGGCACATTAAAATTTGAGAATACTCTTCAGACTCTGAGTGCATGCATGAGGGAAAGAATGTACTGATCACTGAGACTGATGTCCATATATTAGAATGAGAGGACAGCAAAGAAATAAAATAGAAG